TTTATAACGATTTTTACTCTTTCTGTTTGTACTATATTTTTATTGGGCGGTTTGTGTCATTCACTGATGTCTGTTATGTATTGAACTCGTGCCATTTTTGTATTTCTTTTCATCCTCGTGAACAACCGTCTTTCAGCCCACTAGAGATCCAAAAAGCTTTCCCTCACGCTCCTATTTTCGCAAATTGTTGAACGCTGAACCTGCAATTTCATGGTCGCGAAGGAACTTTTCACCAGCACTTTGGAAGAAAAAAGCTGGAAACGAAGTAAAGTTTGAAAGAAAACGTATTCTGGAAATGTCTGATTTTCGCGAGTAAATTTTCTTTGCGTCCATGTTTTTTTTCCCACAAACTAAATGACATCTGGGATTATTAATTTATCATTGTTTTTGAATTGCTTTTGGAAGTTTAAGTAGGTTACGTTTTTGAATGTACGGTTATTGAGCTTTTAATCAGTATGGATGCTGTAGTAGTGATGATATTACTACTACTGGTACTGATAATAATGACAATAATAGCGCTAATAATTTTATAATATAATATGATAATGATGAGGATGATTGATGACTGATGATGGTAATGGTGATAAGTAGTAAAAGTAATAGGAACAATAATGACAGTGATTGATAATGAGAGTAATGATAACAATAATGATAATGACAGCAGCGGTAACATTGATGACAAAGATAAAAATATAATAATGTTTATGATAATGGTAATAGTAATTTTAATGATAATGATAATTGTAATTATAATGATAATAGCAATGGTAATGGCAATTATAAAAAAAAAAAAAAAACTGATAAGGTCGATGATAATAAGAGCAATGGTAATTATCATGAAAATATAACATAGCAGAAGAAATAATAATAGTAACAACGATAATTGTAATAACAATGACAATGATAATAATAAAAATGATAGTAATAATAGTAATAATAGTAGTAATAATAAAAATGATACTACTACTAATGATAATGATAGATGATAAGAATGGCAATAATGATGATAGAGCCAATGATGATAATCACAATAACAGAACAAAAAATTAACAGTTGCATATATGAACAAACACGTCTGTAAACAATTCTGTTCCCTATATGTCCCACCGCAGTACAAATATTGGTGTGCAATCATGAAATGCTCACTTTCAACGTCTGGCTTGAAATGGCCAAAAGCAACTTTTTTTACCTCCTTTTGTTCTCCTAGGCAGCGTAAGAGGTAAGTTGGATGGACTACAGGGTTTCACGCCGGAAGTGAGTACATCCGCCCGCCGCCCACTCCTTTCCCTCCCCTCCCTGGCGCCCACCGCCCTCCCTAATCTACTTTCCAAGCTGCCCACCGCCCTAACTGTTTACTAGGGCGCCCGCCCACCGCTCCCTCTCTTCCCAACCCGCCCAATCCACCCACCACCCTCCGCCCACCACCCACTACCCTCCGCCCACCACTTACTACCCTCCGCCCACCGCCGCCGCTCCAGTGCCCGTATAGGCGTGGGAGGCCCGTCCAGCGCATCTAATGAGGCTCGTGAAGTGGACATGTGATCAGTAACTGCCTGTGTGTCTTTGTGTGTCCGTTTGGTGGTCCTTTTTTGCATGATTTAGGATGACTTCATAGCGGTTTGTTGTATATTTATAACTGTGTAAAACGTCATTCAAGAAATCATGCATGGTTTTGTGAATAGCCTTTTGGTTCTCGTTTTACTTTGATATCTGCTTCTGGAATTCCACTGCATGAGTTAAATGAAGCATTAATAAAACAATAGGTAAAAACAAGAAGAAAAGGCAAAATTGTTAGCATGTATTGGAATCCTTATAATTTTCTACGATATGTAAGCTAGGATGAATTCATGACACCACGAAACATTTAATCTCTAAAACTTGCCAGAAAATGCGTTACTATACTATACCATGCTGTAAAAAAAAAACAATTTTTGAAGCAAAAACTCCGAGTGCTCAGTGGTCTAGTATAAGCAAATGAGTATTTCTGCGCAGAGGTAATCTAATCCCAGTTTGAGAACCTTTTTAGTGGGTCGTGTGATTAAGTTCCTAGAATGGTTAGGGTTCCAGTCCTTTACAGGGTGGGTAGTTATACCGTTAAGCGTATAAGACCTGCATTACCTCGCATGGCTAATAGAAAAATGGTAGCCGTTTCAGAAATATCGTGGACTTTTTTGTTTATATTACAAGTTTGTTTTCTCTGGTGACCTCTGTGTTAAGGCATGGCTCTGACGTATGTTAATTTATAGTTATAAACAAAATGACAGAAATTCACATGATTATATAGATCTGATGTGTCATCGTTCCTCGATTAAATAACTTGAATTCTAGTTTCATATGTAATAAACAGGTCCGTGGCAGTGCTTATAGGTCTAGATATAGCCGTGCACAAACGAAAGAAATCAAAGGAAACTGCAAATGTCAACGGCAAGAATACAGCTTATATGTTGAAGAACCGTTATCCAAAAAGAGGAAATTCTAATTAGAAAGACAATAATTTGCAATGTGTGTGGAATGGCATGGCGTGTTTCGACTACCAGGAAAAAAATCCCGCAATGCAGTGGTTGAATGCATGTGTGATATTCTACTCTTTGCGAACTTTCCTATTCTTTAGTTGAAATTTGCTCTTCAATGACTGCTATTTTAGCATTAGGTTCAACGCCTCCCTTGCTTTGTGTGTGAAAACTATTATCCCTGTGTTAGACTACTTATTTGAAGGTACTTTATTATCGCATAGGCTCAAATTTACATTTCCTTGTATAATTATATGTAATGATAAGTTATTTTCCCTGTTATATGATGGATCCTTTTTATTGTCTTTTCTCTCGCTCTCGCTCTCTCTCTCTCTCTCTCTCTCTCTCTCTCTCTCTCTCTCTCTCTCTCTCTCTCTCTCTCTCTCTCTCTCTCTCTCCCTCCCTCCCTCCCTCTCTCTCTCTCTCTCTCTCTCTCTCTCTCTCTCTCACTCTCTCTCTCACTCTCTCTCTCTCTCTCTCATTCACCCTCTCACTCCCTCTCCCTCCCTCCCTCCCTCCCTCCCTCCCTCCCTCCCTTCCTCCCTCCCTCCCTTCCTCCCTCCCTTCCTCCCTCCCTCCCTTCCTCCCTCCCTCCCTTCCTCCCTCCCCCCCCCTCCCTCCCTCCCTCCCTCCCTCCCCCCCCCTCCCTCTCTCCTTTTCCCTATTTTCTCTCTTTGCTTTTTCCACTCTCTCTCTCTCTCTCTCCCCCATTTCTCCCTCTTCCTTTCCCTCTCCACTTCCTCTCCCCTTCCCCCTCCCCCTCCCCCATTTCTCCCTCTCCCTCTCCCTGCCCCTCTCCCTCTCCCTCTCCCTGCCCCTCTCCCTCTCCCTCTCCCTCTCCCTCTCCCTCTCCCTCTCCCACTCCCTTTCCTTCTCCACTTCCTCTCCCACTCCATTCCTCCTTTCCCTCTCCCACTTTCCCCTACCGCCTTCCCCCCCATCTTTATGCCCCATAGGCCTATGAACATAACACTCAACATCCTCTCCGTCCCTTCCAGGCATCAACCTCCCCCTGGCGGACCTCTTCGTCACCACCGACAGCGGGAAGGTGCAGGGCTTCTACGTGTACCTGTACGACAAGCCCGGCGTGCGTCCGGCGGATAGGCCCGTGCAGAAGCCCATCCATCAGCAAAGGCACATCATGAATATCTCGACCTTCTTAGGGATCCCGTACGCTAGGCCGCCGATAGAAGAAGGGCGGTTCAAGGTAATGGCAATGCACGCCGTTGGTTGATAGATAGAAAGGAGTCTGAAAGAACGCTAGATAGATAAATCTGCTGAGATACAGGAAAACGAATAAACATGAACGGACATACGCATCTACATAAGAGGAAATTAGAAGGTAGAGAAGTGACATGTTGTTTCGCCCACACACTTTTTGTATCTATAATCTTATCTGAATGATAAGATACTTATGAGGCATGCCCTTGTGTACATAGGTGAAGTGTTTTGTACAAATGATATCCCTGCTTTATCATGGCTTGATTATTGGTCCCGCCGCAGGCAGCAATATAACCGAAGTCTGAACAGGAACACAAACAGAGATTCCCATAACCAAAATAGGCATGGATGTTCTCACTGACGTAAACACATGTTTGCAGACAGCCGTAGACGCTGTGGGATATTTTAAGTTAAAGAGAGGGAGATAGAGACAGACAGACAGACAGAGATAGACAGACAGACAGACAGACAGATAGAGAGACAGACAGAGACTTAGATTTAGAGTTAGCGAGAGATAGAGAGAAAAAAAAATAAACTAAAGCAAACAAACCAACACAGACGCAAATATTCTCCACAGCATCTCTTAGACTGGCCTTCAGCATTAGGTAACTTCCGCCCAATACCCAGCTGGTAACCTGTAAACCTCCTTCCACTCCGACAAGCGGACAATCTAGCCATTCTTCTGACATATCCGGCCCACAGAGACTGTCGCAAGAATAGTTTTTCGGATTATAGCAGATTAAAAGCTCTTCCGTCTTGCAAATTACCCTTGCCTCTTCATGGCGATGGGCGAATGGAGGCCGTTTTCTTTTGTTGTTTTTTCCTCTAATTTAAATTTTTAAAATTGTTTTCATTTAATAATTTTCGTCTTTCTCTTTCCCCTGATCTTTTCATCGCGTCCTTTGTTCCTTCCTTTCCCTTCTGATGTTCTGATTGTCGAAGTAACATGTGTTATTGCTATTCTTCTCTTTGTTTTTCAGTTCTTTCCTTGTTATTTTTTTCTGATTGTCTTTTCTTGTTCTTGTTGAGAGAGAGAGAGAGACAGAGAAAGAGAGAAAGAGAGAAAGAGAGAAAGAGAGAAAGAGAGAAAGAGGGAAAGAGAGAAAGAGGGAAAGAGAGAGCGAGAGAGAGAGAGAGAGAGAGAGAGAGAGAGAGAGAGCGAGAGAGAGAGAGCGAGAGAGAGAGAGCGAGAGAGAGAGAGAGAGAGAGAGAGAGAGAGAGAGAGAGAGAGAGAGAGAGAGAGAGAGAGAGAGAGAGAGAGAGAGAGAG